CCATCCGGAGGCTCCAGCTCCCACCGCAGAAAAGCAGCGCTGCTGTAAAAAAAGTCCTTTACTCCACAGGGTATCAGAGCAGAAAAAAGCAAAGATCTGAAAACTCGTTTTTTTCTCCAAAAACAGACAACCCCAACCCCTCAAACAGTTCCGTTCTCCAAAACGGAGGGGATGAGTCTATTATAACACTACTTCATCCAGTTCTTGTTGCCTGGCAGGTAGGTGACTTCTAGTCAAGCAAATGTACCCTTTAAAAGAGCTGCAGCCTGGACAGAGGATCCCTGCAGGACAGCGCCCGAATTCCCACTCTTTAGAGGCACCCAAGGAAGGGTCGCTCTGCATGATGGTTCCTCCAAAACATTAGTACTTAAGTGCTCAAGTGGGGAAAAATTTCCAGGACCTTTAAGCTCTCTTCTAAGGTAGACGAAAAGGTCTCCAAGTGCAGTCACCTGTCGTCTGGGCATGGACCTGATCTGGGTCACGTGTGAAGCAGGGACTCTCCATCCTGACCTTGCCACAGGCTCCCTGTGCACAGCTCACGGTCTGCACCGAGAGGTGCCAGATTACAGGAATTGTCAGAAAAACCAGAATCTGGTAAGAAAATATAATCAGGAGATGCCACGAGGGATGGCTGGGCAGGGTGCCTTTGGAAGACCTTCACATTGGCACTATGGGGCTCCCACTTGAAGACCTTCTTCAAGCAAGGTCTCTCTCTCCATGTTCAGCAGCAGAAGCAGAGACTCATCTTTTACAGTCCGTCAGGTCCTGCGGGAGCATCACGACACCACTTGCGGACAAATCAACTTCTTTCTCACCGTTGCAGAGTTTTTCCTAGTTTTGGCTCATTTTTTCAGAACTCAATGGCCTCGGGGACTGCCGTTTCTTGGCATCAGACTTCATTTCTGATGGCCCACCTGGAGACGCGGATGAGCTAAATGTTGCGCAGTTTTACCGCTTTGAACGTAGGCGCTAAAACTTGCTGCAGACTTTCCCGACTGCTGAATCGCAGACAATTTAGCTACTATATTAAAAAAGGTATTAAACGTAATAGTCTAAGCAGACGTAATCTTCCACGTTTATAAATTAGGAAAAAAAAAAGAGAACAGTTTGTACTAGTTTGTGGCTAAAAATTACTTGCAATCAAGTTTTAATGACACAAGATGAGATATGCTACTCCTGGAAAAGCCTGTCTGCCAGTTAATTTGAGAGCCTAATTATGACTATCTAACACCTTATTAGGATTAGAAAGTTCACAGGGCCTGTGCTGCTGCGGCTCTGTGTTTCGGCAGCAGGCTGGGGTTTTCAAAGCAGTCGCAAGCGTTTAAGCTCCGGCTTCTGTTAAAATTACCGATTAAATCCCCATGCCGTGCTAGAAATCTCACCCTTATTGATCCTGCAGCACCAAAGCGTGCTGAATGATGCAGACACATTTTTTTCTATATTAGCGCTAAGGCTGCTGGGGCTGGGGGGAAGCTCTCTACATGCTGCATTTTGCATCGCCCGAATCTCTTCTTCTCACACGAACAGCATTTCACGAGCATAAAAATGGACGCGCAGGCTGTCATGGCCTCCTCCAGACCTGAACGCTTTGCTGATGCTCAGGAGCAAACTCTCGACACCCTCCGGCCCTGGGAAGTGTAGGGGAGGCTATTGCCGGAGGAGGAAAAGCTGGGCAAGGGGAGATTGAGCCTAAGGGAAGAGCTAATTTGGGGTGCCCGGTCTGAAAGACGTCTGATTTTTCAGAGCCTGCAGCGCTATATATAGCATCTCCCAGCAAAGCTCCTTGGGAGCCAATTGCAGCTATGAGCCCGAAGCGTTGCTATAAATCATACCTCAAGGCTTTATCTATGCTGGTAAATGAAATGTGCCTGAGCCAATTCTCTCGACCTGAGGCCACGCTGCATGGTACTAGCCTGGGGACATACTATTAAATTATGTTATCACCCAGACGGGGTGGCCACATCCCAACTGCCCCCTGGGAATGGTCTCCACTCTGAGACTATTGCCAAGCCATGCTGAGGACCTGGGCGGCTGGATCAGGCCAAAACCGTGCCAGGGACCAAGCTACCTACATACCGATTTACACAAGCAAGGAAAGGCAGTAAGGCTGAGCATCATTCAGCCAGCCAGGGTACAACGCCTCTTCTCCTTTCCCTGCATCTCCTGCCTGCCTTCTCCTGCAAGAAACGAAGCCAGCTTCTACAGGGAAGAGATTCCTGCCTCGGTCCTGGAGGAGAGCCCCAGCCATCAACTCAAAAAGGGACGCAGGGGAAGAAGAGCGGACACAAGCCTGGGCAATGTGCTCTAGGTGACTTTGCTTGAGCTGGGGGGTTGGACCAGATGGTCTCCAGAGGTCCCTTCCAGCCTCAACCGTTCTGTGATTCTGTGAGGAGTGATGTGATCAGGTAACTAAAGACTGTCATTGCCGGGGACCAGGGCCATTTCCCAGGCGGAACCCAGTTCCCCATCCCAATCCCATTCCTCGCTCCTTGTCCTCATCCCATTGCTCACCCGGCTCCAGCCTGACCCCCACCAGCCACCAAATCCCTTCCTTCGGCACCTTCGCTCTCCTCACTGCCTCTTTGGCAGGTCCTCTTCGCTTTCTCCCCCAAATCCTTTCCTGCCCCAGGTCCTGCAGGCTCAGCTCTTGCCTCCCCTGATTTCGAGGCAGCTGACAGGCACAAGGGCAAGGAAAAATGCCATGCAGCCTCACCCCGGGCATGCCCAGCACGGACTGAACTGCTGATAAAAATCCAAGTTTCTACGAACGACATGCTGAGGTTTTTACAGATGCTTGCAACTTGCTCCGATGTGGGCTGGGGTGACACCAGGTGTGACAGAAAGCCCACGTACCCCGCCAAGTTTGCAGCCCCCTACTCCAACGAGCAGAGGGGCCATCCCTTTCCAAAAAGAAAGTCCCCTGAACTTTTTTTTTTTTAATACAGACAAAAAAGAAACGTCGTTTCTTCCCCTAATCTCACTCTTTGAGTGGTTTAAACAAAAAGTAGCCTGAAGCAGACACCCAGCGTGGAATATTTCGGCCCACGTGTGTATACAGGTTGTAACCTTCCCAGCCTTGCAAATACCGTGGGCCGCCAAGAGCCGCTTAGCTCAGTTTTACACCAAAAATGCCTGAAGGGTTTCTCCAGGCCTCGAGGCACTTGGGAGCATTAGCGGTACCAGGTGAGATTGCAAGGGGCAGCTTTATTTTCCAGCCTTACGGGGTGCTGGGAGGCTGGGAGCCGGCTCTGCTCCAGGCTGCCGCAGCCCTTGCAGCCGCCTTGCCGAGGGGGTGGACGCGTTGCCTGGCACAGGAGGCAGCGACTTACTTTTTAAAGCCTCCAGGCCTGTCTCGATGGCAAGCCTCCGCGTTGAAAAGCCTGCTTTACGATGATCTGTAACTAACACCGCCCCGGCTCTGCTCTGCCAGTTTGATTTAAGAGGTGGGAATTTCCCTGGGGTTTCTTGCAAACCATCTTTTATTTTCGAGTTCCCTCGGTCACTTTTAAGGAAATCGGAAATAATCTCCCTTTGTTTGGTTGGTTTTTTTCCTACTCAGTCAATATGTGAACAGAGCTTGCCTGAATACACTCAGCCTGTGCCCAAATGCAAGAGTCAAAACCGACTGCAGAGCAGCAGCGCTGCAGGAGCATCACTGGTGCAGATACAGAGCTGCAAAAACCAGCTCGGTGACCCCTGTGGCCCCGGCGCTCAGCTAGCACCAAGGTCTTTCTTGCCCTTCTCCTCTGCTCTTTTCCTCCTTTGAAGGTGAGCACGGAGGGTCGGTGTTCTCCTTTTCACCCACCTTTTCGTATTTTTAACAAATGGAAAAAGAAAGGACCAGGGACACCCGCAGCACCCCGGGACCCTCCACCAGACCAGGCAAAATGGGAACAAAATAACCAGGTAAAACCCCAGAAAAGAAGGTTTATTTACTGAATGCTGCAGAAGAAGCTTGGTAAGTTCTGTTCTCGGTCCCAGTGTCCACCGGGAGGTGGAAGGTGCCCTCGGTGGCACAAGAGGAGGACGTCTGCGGCCAGGCCTGCTTCATCAGAAGTGTGGCTTGAGCGGAGACAGAAAAGAGGTATTACACACAGCCAGCGCCCACGTGCCAACGTTGCAACCAAGTCACAACATCCCACGTTCATGTTGCATTTAACCACCCTGCTGCCCTCTTCCTTTCCCCTCGCCCCTTTTAAGGACAAACACATCGAGGACTTTCACACTGTGCTTCCTCTTCTGCCGCCTGCTCCTCAAGGAGGACCCATGTGCGGCAAGCAAGCAGTTACCTACCCAAAATGACCACCTTCCTGAGCCAAATGATCTGCACAGGGATCTACATTTGGGGACGTGGCCAGTTGGGATGGCTTTGAGGACGTTCTTGGGGATCTGGGGCTTTTCAGAGTTCACCGCTTGCAGATGCGTCCAGGGCATGTGCTGCAGATGAGCAAAGTGGTGGCAGCCATGACCGACCCATTGCACCGAGACACAGTCATTAGCAGTGCTGGAGAAATAGGTGACAGGAGCACGGACTTCGGGCAGTCGTCCTGTAATCCTGACTTGTGGCAAAGCGTTTACAAAGCCAAATAAGACAAGCCAGAAAAATCTCAAGAGCCAATTCTTGTGGGATTTGAGAAGGGAGCAATATTCAGTTATTTTGTACATCTTTAGTTTTCTCAGAAAGGAAAACTTCTTTTACTTAACTGGCCCAGTGCATCTCTGTGTGATGAACCAGCACTGCCTATGCATCGCGAGTCCTTTACCCAATAACCAAATGCATCGCCAACACGTATCTAAGAAGGTCTGCTGCTATCTCGCAAGGCTTCCTGCAGCACATGGAGAGTGGGGATGGCAGATCACCAACAGAGACCTTGGAGTTGAGTTGGCCCCTTCCCAAGCTGGTGCCTCAGGAAACAGCTTAACAGGTCCCTTTTTTTTTAATCCCCCCAAAACTATGACGCTCTCATAACTTTTTGTTCCAGACTAGCCTCAAATTCTGGCAGCTGCTATCCATTACGTGTTTAATTCCCGCTCCCTTTCAGTGGAGTGCATAAGCCCTTTGAAGGCCTTTGTTCAAACCCCACGCCATCCTGGGAGGTGCAGTTATCAGAGCTTGCTGCTCACCAGCTTAACAAATCGATCTATCTGTTATTATAAAAGAAATAAGCTCCAGGTTTTCTATGTACTGCAATACGTGTTTCGCAAACCCAGCTACTAAGGAAAGAAAGCCAAGTGAGGGTCGATCGACCCTCGGCGAGTAGCTTAGTGATTAGACTTCATTGCGAAGTTGTTGAGGGTAAAGGAGGTAAAATGAGGCAGCGGTTGGAATCAAAGAGAATCAGCAATTTCTTTCTTGTTTCAAGCTATTTTTTGTGAACTCGGGAGCTAGACTGTTGACACACTCACCACACACCAAATTACTGAATTCCCCAAGACCTCTGGAGCTAAAGCACAAAACAGCTATGCTTTACTTGTGCCTACTCCGACCCAGGGAGCCGGGGAAACTAATCCGTGGTGAAGCTATGGGGTATGTTCCCGGTTGATTTTATGAACCGTCAGTTTTTAATGTAGCCACTGTTCACATTTCTCTGGCTCCTGGGAGAGATGGCTGATTAGGGCTGCCTACCCTCAACGCATACCCATGGCACAGCAGAAGGCTGGCCAAGTCAGGGCAAGCCCCTCCTGTCCTCCTCCCGCGCCCGGGACTATTAGAAGGAGGTCAGATTTCCCCACAGACACAATAAAAGGATTCTGCGTCAGCCTTATGAACTCAAGAGACTTCTGGGGAAAAGAGACCTTTGGGCAAGAGAGGCACAACGGAAGCGCGATTCATCAGCCGGGGACTGTTCCCGGTAGTGGAAGAGGCCAAGCTTGGACAAAGCTGTCCGGAGCAGAAAGAGGGGCTGTTTGGGAGAGTCACGGCCTGCCGGAGAAATGTCTTGCCCTCCTTACCCTTCCCGTGGTCCCACCTTTCTGGCTGAAGGAAGCCACCTATGAAGATACTCTAGGGCTGCACTTCGTAACTCCTTTCTCTGTGCAAGTAACTACTGTCATATGTCAGGGTAACTGGCAGCTGGGTTATGGGGCAAGAGATAGCTCACGGGACCTTCAGGAAAAAGTGGATTTGGGGGCCTGCCTCTTGACCGTGCCTGATGGACTCACTGGAAGGCAAAAGAAGGAGCAGGCTGGATTAAGAGCTCTGCCGGGCTGCTTTTACCCCGCAGGCCACAAGACTAGCCTCTCTCAGGACTCTGCGCTAAGGCCCACAAAGGGATTTTATGACTTTGTCAGGGCTTGTAAACCTTTTCGCAGTCTGAAGGGAAGAGTAATTATGTTCTGAAACCCTCCAATGCTTTTGTGTCTGTTCAGACTCTTAATTAACTGTCTCTGAAGACAGAACTGTACATCTGGAGCGCCACAAGGCTAGAAGTCGGGTATACGTAGGATGCTGCACAGCCAAGCAATTCAAGAGGCCAAGGGACTGTGCTCCGCTGCTGGAGATACGGGGAAACGTTCTCCTCATTTGTTGCCTTCTTCGATAGAAAACTAGGACGTTTATGGGAAGGGAGAGATGGAGAGAGTAATTGCTCCTCCAGCTGAGGACTGGCTGTTTTCTGTCCCAACCCTGAGACCCCTCCCAAAGGTTTGCAGGTTCCTGAGGATTTCCATTTGGTGCTGCTTTGTTTTCCAGGGGACGCTGCCCTCCCGAATGTCACACTAGACAGGGCCTAACTCTCAACGCTGAGAGAGAGAAAAATCCTTTCACTTCCACTTCTGTTCAAAACCAGATTCATTTTTGCCTCTAGAGTTCACAAAGGTTTTAATCTCCAAGACTGCCTGTCTGATGAGATGATTTATTTAGATGTTACATGAATCCTTCCTCGGTAATGTCTCCTCTCCACATTAGATCTACCAAACAGTCACAGCAACTTGGATCTGTGATGGCTGGAACTTGTAGCTTACGGCTGTGCATGTTCTTTACACCAAATCACTGATCCTCGGAGAATCCATCACATAAACCTATACAAAAGGTGAACTCAGAGGCAGCTAGGAACAGTAATATCTCCTGGTCCTTTGCAAGAGCTACAGCTCACAGAGGTGACAATCCAGCCATGACTATTTAATATTGTTTAAGTTCTATCTCCTGCCAGTATCTCCTGGATTGGGTTCAGCCTCTCACCTACACTTGTCTTTGAAAAATAAAGAGCTTTTATTCGTTATCTGCTGGATCTCTGGGAAATCTAGTGGTAGGAGCCAGAGAAGCCACTGAACTGAGTGCTGCTCTCTCCAGTGCTGGGACAGGCCAAACTCCCTTAACTCCATTGAGGAGCTCCAGCCAATACAGTGACGTTGAGGACATATTCAAAGCGGAAAAGAGAAAAATATGAACCAGACATGCCCAAAGAAAATTCTGCGTATTAACCAGAGTACAGAATCCTTCCTGATGAAGAAGGCGAAGAAAGGACTAAGCACATGATACCGTATATGTACCTCTCGCTTCCCTCTGCTGACCTTATTTGTGAGGGACACAGCCTGGAGCACAGCACAAAGTTTGCAACAAGCTTAATCCCTAGGCAGTCCCATCACTACGTGTCTGAGTGCCTCAAAACGAGGAGAGCAGTTCCTCTTAGAAAGCCTGGGAAGGCCTCAAGGCTCTCTGGGACGTTCCCGTCACCAGACTCCAGACATCTACCTTTGGAGACCTATGGATCACCCTAAAGGGTCAGCAGGGAGATGGATCGTGATTCAGAGCACTTAAGGAGAGAGAGGAGACCTACGCTTTGCTTCCGCAAAAGAAGATTTTCTCTCGGGAGGATTCAGAAACAGGAATGCGGAACACATACAGCCGCCATCCTGTGCCCCAGCAGGTCCACAGCAACCACGCCGAGACACCTCATTTCCTAGGCTGATTTTAGAAATGTCTGTTCAGCTCAATAAGGGCACTGAAGTAATGGATACAAAACATTATTCTCTACTGCATTATTAATAGCTACAGCTGAAGCATAAGCCATTTGCCGTGCAAAGAGTGTGTGCCCTACTTTCAGGAAAATAAAAAGCAGGTTTTAATGAAGGAAGTTAAAACAAAACAGCCATCTCGGGAAGACAGAATGCCTAGGAGGGAACATAGCCTAGGATTAATGAAGAGATATATTATTTTTTTAAATAACTGGCACGCCTCATGTCTCTGCAGTAGAGTGATTTTTAGGTGCCCCTTTTTACATACTTGAAAGGAAAATTTGCACCAAAATTGTCCTAAATAGCCAGGCTTACTGCGAGCATCGGAGTTTGCAATGCTGGCATTCAGCGGTGATCTTGTAACCCACCTTGTGTCTCTCCATCTAACAAATACTGAAAGATGCAAAAGAAAAATCCCACAACAAGGCAGAAAGCAGAGCTCTGCTGTTTCTGTGAACCCCGAGCTTTTTTCTCCTGCCTTTGCAGGGCTTCCGGCACAGAGCTTTGCAAACAATGCTCTGACTGCTGTCACCTATCCCCTGGAAAGAGCTGCTTTAAAATAAACTGCCGCAGAAATTAAGACTCTTTTGGTCTTAAATCTGCTTCGCTCAAACATTAGTGACTTCAGTAAATATCTGACAGTGAGCGAGGGAGAAATGAAGACTGGTTCTGATTACCAATTTCCTTTCCTTTCCCCTGTGTGGCTGGACCTGGAGGGAACGAGAGGACTCTAGGCCTCTCCGAAACCCTCTTCAGGTCTCATTACGCTTTTCTGATCGAGGCAGTTACAAAGTCTGTGGCACTAAACCATTTGATTTTCCATGTGCATCCCAGGGGCTTTCACAGCCTTTCACAGGAACCACGACGTCAATAAAAACCAGGAAGCATTGCTGACTTCGGTGGGGCATCAGACACCTACCCAGAGGGAGCTGGCCTGAAGAACACCTTCAAGGGTGCCCAGAAGAGGGGTAACCAAGCTTGTGCAGAAAACTTCTTTCAAGCCTGAGATACACACCAGCCCGTTTCTGGTTATATCCCAAGAAATCAACAAGTCACAAGCAAAAGATGCTCTTCCCTTCCCAACCTCCACTGCCAAGAGCATTAAG